AATAATAATAATAATAATAATAATAATAATAATAATAATAATAATAATAATAATAATAATAATAATAATAATAATAATAATAATAATAATAATAATAATAATAATAATAATAATAATAATAATAATAATAATAATAATAATAATAATAATAATAATAATAATAATAATAATAATAATAATAATAATAATAATAATAATAATAATAATAATAATAATAATAATAATAATAATAATAATAATAATAATAATAATAATAATAATAATAATAATAATAATAATAATAATAATAATAATAATAATAATAATAATAATAATAATAATAATAATAATAATAATAATAATAATAATAATAATAATAATAATAATAATAATAATAATAATAATAATAATAATAATAATAATAATAATAATAATAATAATAATAATAATAATAATAATAATAATAATAATAATAATAATAATAATAATAATAATAATAATAATAATAATAATAATAATAATAATAATAATAATAATAATAATAATAATAATAATAATAATAATAATAATAATAATAATAATAATAATAATAATAATAATAATAATAATAATAATAATAATAATAATAATAATAATAATAATAATAATAATAATAATAATAATAATAATAATAATAATAATAATAATAATAATAATAATAATAATAATAATAATAATAATAATAATAATAATAATAATAATAATAATAATAATAATAATAATAATAATAATAATAATAATAATAATAATAATAATAATAATAATAATAATAATAATAATAATAATAATAATAATAATAATAATAATAATAATAATAATAATAATAATAATAATAATAATAATAATAATAATAATAATAATAATAATAATAATAATAATAATAATAATAATAATAATAATAATAATAATAATAATAATAATAATAATAATAATAATAATAATAATAATAATAATAATAATAATAATAATAATAATAATAATAATAATAATAATAATAATAATAATAATAATAATAATAATAATAATAATAATAATAATAATAATAATAATAATAATAATAATAATAATAATAATAATAATAATAATAATAATAATAATAATAATAATAATAATAATAATAATAATAATAATAATAATAATAATAATAATAATAATAATAATAATAATAATAATAATAATAATAATAATAATAATAATAATAATAATAATAATAATAATAATAATAATAATAATAATAATAATAATAATAATAATAATAATAATAATAATAATAATAATAATAATAATAATAATAATAATAATAATAATAATAATAATAATAATAATAATAATAATAATAATAATAATAATAATAATAATAATAATAATAATAATAATAATAATAATAATAATAATAATAATAATAATAATAATAATAATAATAATAATAATAATAATAATAATAATAATAATAATAATAATAATAATAATAATAATAATAATAATAATAATAATAATAATAATAATAATAATAATAATAATAATAATAATAATAATAATAATAATAATAATAATAATAATAATAATAATAATAATAATAATAATAATAATAATAATAATAATAATAATAATAATAATAATAATAATAATAATAATAATAATAATAATAATAATAATAATAATAATAATAATAATAATAATAATAATAATAATAATAATAATAATAATAATAATAATAATAATAATAATAATAATAATAATAATAATAATAATAATAATAATAATAATAATAATAATAATAATAATAATAATAATAATAATAATAATAATAATAATAATAATAATAATAATAATAATAATAATAATAATAATAATAATAATAATAATAATAATAATAATAATAATAATAATAATAATAATAATAATAATAATAATAATAATAATAATAATAATAATAATAATAATAATAATAATAATAATAATAATAATAATAATAATAATAATAATAATAATAATAATAATAATAATAATAATAATAATAATAATAATAATAATAATAATAATAATAATAATAATAATAATAATAATAATAATAATAATAATAATAATAATAATAATAATAATAATAATAATAATAATAATAATAATAATAATAATAATAATAATAATAATAATAATAATAATAATAATAATAATAATAATAATAATAATAATAATAATAATAATAATAATAATAATAATAATAATAATAATAATAATAATAATAATAATAATAATAATAATAATAATAATAATAATAATAATAATAATAATAATAATAATAATAATAATAATAATAATAATAATAATAATAATAATAATAATAATAATAATAATAATAATAATAATAATAATAATAATAATAATAATAATAATAATAATAATAATAATAATAATAATAATAATAATAATAATAATAATAATAATAATAATAATAATAATAATAATAATAATAATAATAATAATAATAATAATAATAATAATAATAATAATAATAATAATAATAATAATAATAATAATAATAATAATAATAATAATAATAATAATAATAATAATAATAATAATAATAATAATAATAATAATAATAATAATAATAATAATAATAATAATAATAATAATAATAATAATAATAATAATAATAATAATAATAATAATAATAATAATAATAATAATAATAATAATAATAATAATAATAATAATAATAATAATAATAATAATAATAATAATAATAATAATAATAATAATAATAATAATAATAATAATAATAATAATAATAATAATAATAATAATAATAATAATAATAATAATAATAATAATAATAATAATAATAATAATAATAATAATAATAATAATAATAATAATAATAATAATAATAATAATAATAATAATAATAATAATAATAATAATAATAATAATAATAATAATAATAATAATAATAATAATAATAATAATAATAATAATAATAATAATAATAATAATAATAATAATAATAATAATAATAATAATAATAATAATAATAATAATAATAATAATAATAATAATAATAATAATAATAATAATAATAATAATAATAATAATAATAATAATAATAATAATAATAATAATAATAATAATAATAATAATAATAATAATAATAATAATAATAATAATAATAATAATAATAATAATAATAATAATAATAATAATAATAATAATAATAATAATAATAATAATAATAATAATAATAATAATAATAATAATAATAATAATAATAATAATAATAATAATAATAATAATAATAATAATAATAATAATAATAATAATAATAATAATAATAATAATAATAATAATAATAATAATAATAATAATAATAATAATAATAATAATAATAATAATAATAATAATAATAATAATAATAATAATAATAATAATAATAATAATAATAATAATAATAATAATAATAATAATAATAATAATAATAATAATAATAATAATAATAATAATAATAATAATAATAATAATAATAATAATAATAATAATAATAATAATAATAATAATAATAATAATAATAATAATAATAATAATAATAATAATAATAATAATAATAATAATAATAATAATAATAATAATAATAATAATAATAATAATAATAATAATAATAATAATAATAATAATAATAATAATAATAATAATAATAATAATAATAATAATAATAATAATAATAATAATAATAATAATAATAATAATAATAATAATAATAATAATAATAATAATAATAATAATAATAATAATAATAATAATAATAATAATAATAATAATAATAATAATAATAATAATAATAATAATAATAATAATAATAATAATAATAATAATAATAATAATAATAATAATAATAATAATAATAATAATAATAATAATAATAATAATAATAATAATAATAATAATAATAATAATAATAATAATAATAATAATAATAATAATAATAATAATAATAATAATAATAATAATAATAATAATAATAATAATAATAATAATAATAATAATAATAATAATAATAATAATAATAATAATAATAATAATAATAATAATAATAATAATAATAATAATAATAATAATAATAATAATAATAATAATAATAATAATAATAATAATAATAATAATAATAATAATAATAATAATAATAATAATAATAATAATAATAATAATAATAATAATAATAATAATAATAATAATAATAATAATAATAATAATAATAATAATAATAATAATAATAATAATAATAATAATAATAATAATAATAATAATAATAATAATAATAATAATAATAATAATAATAATAATAATAATAATAATAATAATAATAATAATAATAATAATAATAATAATAATAATAATAATAATAATAATAATAATAATAATAATAATAATAATAATAATAATAATAATAATAATAATAATAATAATAATAATAATAATAATAATAATAATAATAATAATAATAATAATAATAATAATAATAATAATAATAATAATAATAATAATAATAATAATAATAATAATAATAATAATAATAATAATAATAATAATAATAATAATAATAATAATAATAATAATAATAATAATAATAATAATAATAATAATAATAATAATAATAATAATAATAATAATAATAATAATAATAATAATAATAATAATAATAATAATAATAATAATAATAATAATAATAATAATAATAATAATAATAATAATAATAATAATAATAATAATAATAATAATAATAATAATAATAATAATAATAATAATAATAATAATAATAATAATAATAATAATAATAATAATAATAATAATAATAATAATAATAATAATAATAATAATAATAATAATAATAATAATAATAATAATAATAATAATAATAATAAAAAAAAAAAAAAAAAAAGTCATATTAAAACTATACAAAATAATTTAAAAAGTAGTAAGAACTCTAATTGAAAAGGGAAAAAATCCTTCAGGAGTATAGCTAAAGAGATGATTTTGTGGGAAGCATTTTCCATACATTTTCCATTGTTTCCCAACATGTTTGAAAAGCTTCTTACAAGCCTCTACATAGTTTTTCCAGAATTTTTAGACCATTCACGGATAAAAAATCCCAATAATTTCTGCTAAAGTTTCTTAAAATTTTGTCTAAACATCCTATTGAAAACTAGTCCCTAGAAGCTGCATTTCCATTGTAAAACCAAGTTTTGTAGCAAATATATATAAAGCATGAAGCAAAAATTTCACACTCATAACTTACACGGCCAAGTTCCAACTCTATGTTGATCAAAAAATTCCATAAGAAGAAGACCTTCAACTATTCCAACAAAAATCCAACCATCCTAAAATTCAAAGAAATATTCTAAATATTAAACTCATATATTCCATACCATATACAAATTTTATTTTTTTATTTTTTGATAAATTACCATACCATATACAATCTCACTTTTGCACACCCAAGAATCTCACTCTTTCTTCAAATAGGGGAAAATATATGTTTCACTTTCCACACATTCCATTGTCACATTCAACAATGGTAATGAGCTCAATTAAATTCTACCAAACCACCATAACATGTAAAATTTGTAAACATTAAAAACACATCTATTTTTAAAAGAACACATTTACACCCATTAAGGAAGAACATATATAAACCTACTTTTAAAATTAACACCAAATACAGAAAAATAAAACAAATTAAACTCATTAAGAAAGAATTGACAATGTCAATGCAAACACAAACAATCAGCCAACCCCCTTCCTACATTTATTTTTATTCATTCATTTTGTCATTTTTCTTTTCTCTTCTGTTCTTAATCCATATCAATTTCCCATTTTCTCCCATGTGACCTTGTACAAATAGATGTCCATTCAGAATCACTACCAACAACTTTAAAAGGATTCCAAATTAAACAAGACCAATAAAGAATACTATGCATTAGCAATAATTGAAAACAAGCTAAAAAAATCATAGAAAAATTAACTCACTTCAGCTTATTTTGCTATTCATTCATTGGTTTTTAAACCAATTATGCTAGTTGCTAGGCTCATCACATATCTTTTTAGCACATTGGTGTGAGCTGATGGCAACTGAATATTACCATATAACGCATAATTAATCGACATGCCTATCATCAAATATCCTTTTGAATAGTGGATATTTATAAGGACCAAAAAAATCCAAGAATATTTTATGCGATGCATATGTGAAATGCCAGAAAAACAACATAATGTCATTCTAGTAGCCATCTATAATCTTATATTAAAACCTCGTCACTTTAGTGAAAAGTAGTACCTTGAAACTTGACCTTGAAAGAAAAGATTACAAAAGAAGTATGAAATTCCCTTAATAAAGCACAGTGACCCCACTCGAATCATCTACAATGAATCAAAGGTAAATTCTATGTCATGTACTCTGCCTTTTGCATCAATTTTGTACTTTTAATTGCAATTAACTCGATTTTAACTAGAGAGGGAGAAGAAGTGAATCACCACGAAAACCATGAGGCTCTAATGGTCTTCCAAACTCCAAAACAGTAGCAATCACACCTGGAAAAACAAAAAAAAGACTTTGTTCAATAATGTATCCTTTAGGGGGGCAAAAATTATCCAAAAAAACAACAAATCAAACTCCTACTATTCATGTGTTCCGAAACAAAAAGGTGAAGGAAACCAAATATAATAAGACAGAAAGTTCTATACGTTGAGAACAATGTCTATGAGATATACGGCCAAAACTAAACAATAAAAACAAAGGGATGGTAATAAATTAGTGACATCATAGCTGCATTACAAATATGAAATCTAATAACAATAATAATAAGGGTTTTCTCAAAGATGAGAAAACATCTTCTCAAATCCTCAACATCAGAACTTTTAACTCAAGCCTAATAGCAAAAAGGAGCTCAGGGAGATGGCTAGGGTTAGCAATCCAATCAAAAAATCAGATATCTACTATACCCATTTTAGAAACCCATTCAAAAACATATAGAAGATAAGGGAGATAGATAGGGTTTAGAAATTGCACAGAGAGAGAGAGAGAGAGAGAGAAACCACCTTACCTGGTGAGCATGTAATAGTCGGCGGTGGCGACTTTGAATTTACACAAAATCGTCCATGAGGGAGGAAGAATGAGAGGAATGAGTTGTGTGTCAGAGTGAGATGAGAAACGTAGAAGGGTTCGGGCAAAATTTTGGGGAATCCCCAATTTGAGAGGGAATTTCAAATTAAAGTAAAATTTTGTAAACAAATTTGCCCCTAATTTTTTTAGAGAGGTAAGAAATAGATTAGGCTTGTTAAATTAATATTTTTTAATTTTATTTATTGTTTTTACTTTTTACTTGATTGGAGTTTTATGACTCAGTTTGTAAAAAAAAAAATTCAAAATTTAGATATATTTAGAAAGTATAAATTACAAATAATTTAAAATTACACCAAATATAAAAATATATATATTCTTTTTGTGTATATTTATCCCAAATCTCATGAAGTTTTGATGAAAATGTTACACACAAAGCCAATTAAGGGTCTAGGTTCGAAGAAGCAACATAATTTATGAATCTATAAACTTTCCAAAAAGATTCAAACATGTAGTCATGACATGTAACGCCCCAAAAATTGGGCAGGGTATATCTATTTATGCTACAAAACCCACCTGATAAACAAACACATATATATAGCTAACTATTCCATACATCCCTTTCCATTAAATCCCAAATGCCAAATACATGCTATTCACATCTCAATGCCCTAGTTCCAACCCCAAGCATACATTTTACAACAAGTATGAAATGGAAACTAAACAGATAATAAGTGCCCTACAGGCTTACAAATTTATCCAAGAACATTCTTGGTTACACAAAATGGAGTTTCAACTCAACGCAAATAAGCCCTGGCTTACATTCAACAAATAACAATAAAACAAAAAATGAAAGCCTCAGCTCCGAGTTCCTCCCATCAATGTCTTGGTGGAGGCATAGGACCTGTACCTGAAATGGTTTCCCTTATAGGGTGAGCCAACAGCCCAGTATAGCGACCCCGGTCTTTCCTTTTTGGTTGTTGTATCCGGGCTTAGGTTCCTTGGGTTTCTCTCAATGTATAATTGTGGTTTTCATCCTTTATTTTCTCTTTTGAGTTATCGATGTGTTGGGCAGTTTGTTTTGTTTTGGGTTGGTTTTGAAAACCCAGGGGTTACTGTCCCAGAAATTTTGATTGGTCGCTCGAGCGAGAGTTTGGTCGTCGAGCGAGGGTTGAGTTTTTGTGTTCCTGGTGGCCTTCGAGCCAGGGTTTTCCTTCGCTCGAGCGATGCGTTTGCGTTTCGTTAGACCTGAGAGCAGTGTTTCTTCGCTCGAGCAGATGTTCTCGATCGAGCGAGTTCTCTTTCCTGTGGTCTGGTCGGCTCGAAGCGACAGTCTTCGCTTCGAGCGAGCCTGTCCAGTTTAAATAGGCAGCAGCGGGTTTTGTCAGTCTTTCATCCTCTTCTAGTTTCCCAAACCCATATGGTTCCCGACTTCTCTCTCTCTAAAACTCATCTTCTTTCTAAGGTTTTCAATCTACTTCTAGTGTGATCCATCCTAAAGTTCTTTTGTAAGAAAGATAGAGGCGTTGGGCTTCATTCTAATCTGAGAAAAAAATAGTGGATTTGGAGCACTGGATTTCGGGTCATCATCTTTTTGAGTTCTCTTTTTTGAGTAGGATTCTTCCATTTGTTTCTTTTCAATACTTCGTCCTATAGATAGACATGTGGTAGTTTTTTGTATTGCATAAAAAATGGTATCATGTTGGATTTGTGAAAATCATTGGGACTGAACCTTGGGTTGGTTTATTGAATTTGGGATGTATTATCATTAGTTATGGATTTGGGCTAATTGGGGTGGTTAATTAGCAATGTGGTTGTTGAAAAGGAGAGGAAAAACCCTAATTTTCCTATTTGATTTAAAATAAATTAATTGAGGGGAGTTTTGATCTTTGGGCAAATACTTCGGTATGTATGAGTCTTAAATTTGTGGTTTATTGTTGTTTGTTGATGTTAATTTAGGCTTTTTTGGTCAATATTGGAAGAAAGAGGAAGGAAAGACCCTAATTTATTGTTATGAACTTAATGTGCATAATTAGTTGAAATGGCTTTGAAAAGAATGTGCCAATTTAATAAGTATGGCTTTGTCCATGGGAAGATTTTTGTGAAAACAAGGAAAGTAGAATTCATTTTGTGAAATGGAAAAGAATATTTTTGAAACAAGTATAAATAAAATTGGAATGTTGTATCTTGAGTATTGAGAGGAGACCTACGCGGGAATGTGTAAGGTAATAGGCTTTAACTAACCATGTTCATGTTGTTTGCTTGCTGAGTTTTGTAATCTCATGTTAGTTGGGTGCTGTTAGTAGATGTATAATTATCATGCATTCTTGGAGATTTTTGGTCATCAGTGGAGGATGATAAGGTTGTGTTGAATTGTTTTGTGTATGTATTACACCATTGTTGATTGAACATCAAATATGTAATGAAATGCTGAATTACATTATATTTGTATTCTGTTGAGGAGAAGAGAGGGGTTGTACTGCCAGTGTGTGTGGAGAAGATAGGGGATGGACTCCACACACCTATGTGTTCATCTATATATACTCTGCGCTTATAATCAGAGGTAATCATACGCCTTTCCAGCTAGCGCTGGAGAAACCTGACGCGCTGATAAATCTAAGTACCAATATCCTTCAGCCTAGCGCTGGTAAACTGGTAGATTGTGGTGAGAAGTTGTATCCTTTGGCTTACTACGCAATAATAGCTAGTAGTGCAGTGTTGTTTTGGTTATTGTTTCAGTGTATCTGGAAACATTGTGGATTTGGTATTGTTACAGTGTTGGAGAGAACAGTTGACTCATTGATTTGATTTTATGTATGTAGTTGAGTTGTTATCTTTTTTATAAAGGTGTGCATGGATAATTATGAATATAATTGGAATTGCATTGAAATGCCAAAATATTTTTTGAAAAAGGCATATCTTGTTGTATGTGTGGTAAAATGGAAAGTAACTGGGCTTTAATGAATCTATTTTTCTAGTAGTTGTTAATGTTATAAAAAGATTGGGAACGAGGGTTAAATGAAAGGAAAAGGAAAGGAGAAATCGCTTATAGCGGTGAATTAAATGAATTGTTTTCAGAAAAGTTCATATATATATATATATTCATATATATATTTGTATAACTGTCACTTATTATTCTAGTATGAGAATGGGTGTTCATCGATCATAGCTATAATCTGTAATGTTGTTATGTTAGAGAGCATGCTGAGTTCCCTACTGGACATATTTCAATCCCACGTTGTTGAATCTTTTTCAGGTGTTTAGCAGGGTGTGCTATAAAGATATGGATGTCTTATTTGTTGGCCACGGGGCCTCAGTTATGTTGGCGGAATGCCATTGTTGTAAAGGGTTACACCCTTCTTCTTGTATTTTTAATGATGTAAGCCCAAGGGCAATTTATTAAGTTAGTTCATGTAATATTTACTTTGCATACGAATGAGAGTATTGTTAATCACTTCTACGGATTGAATGTAAAAGTTTATTTCCGCATGTTATCTCTGAAATTGAATTAAGTTAAAGAATTTGGTAATGACTCCGAGTAATAAAAAGTGGGGCGTGACAACTTGGTATCAGAGCGAGCCGGGTTTGAATACTTGGGCTCGTGGGAAATGGTTTTTTACCACAGTGGGTTTACTACGTGTAGTGAGGACGTTGCATATGGATATCATGAAAGTTAGGACTTATGTGTTGCATTTATGTGAGCATGGGATTCAGTCTCTTGGATAGTATTCATAGCCGGTGAACTTGCTTTGAGGTCCTTTTGGAAACACGCCTGATCAACGTGGTTTCTGATAGGAATTCCTTGAGAGTTTCGGGATGAGTGGCTATCTTTGTGGACTTGATTCGATTATGTATTTACATGTTTAGCTGATAATATGCAGTAGAGATGTAAATTTTGAGACTAAGTGTGTCTTGTGACTTAACAGTAGTGGAGTGTGCCTCGGAGAAGGCTATAGTGTTTTGCACTAAGTGTAATTTACTTTGTGCTTTATAGGATGTCTACACGAGGGAGTAGAGGACGGTTGAATAGTAGGAGTGTCGGTAGGGGCACAACAGTTCCTTTAGTACCTGCCGTTGCAGCATCGGCTGTCGGAGAGGATGTTGCACGCGAGATTGCAAGAGTAGTGCAAGATGCCCTAGTTCGCACTGAGGGCGGCAACGGGCATGCTCTCAAACTTACTAAGGAGTTTTTCCGTTCCGGCCCACCAGAGTTTGTGGGGGAGGCTAAACCGTTGGAGGCAGAGAGTTGGTTAGAACAGATTACCAAGACTCTTGATATGCTCAGAGTCGAAGATGAGGAGTTGAGGGTCTCTTTGGCGACTTTTCAGTTGAAGGGTGATGCGAGTTATTGGTGGAAGTATGCTAAGAATAATGTAGGTAGCACGTGGGTTGCTTTTACCGAGGCCTTTTGGGCCAAGTATTTCCCTCCTTCTGCTCGGGAAAGGTTGAGGGATCAGTTTTTGGAGTTGCGTCAGGATGATACTCCTGTGGCGCAGTTTGAGATGCGGTTTGAGATGGAATTAATTGATAAATATTTCTCAACAAATAGTCTAGTCCTAAGAGAATATATTTAGTCATCACAAACAAAAGAAAACCAACCTAACACCTTTACAGACTTAGCAATGACATTGATTGGCGGTACATTAGTCACTTGTAATTTTATAAGGGCAAAGCTAACTTGATATAAAATCAAGGACAAAATGATCTCCAAAAAAAGAGTAATACCAAAAGCTTTCATTTAAATCATCATAGTTCCTTCACAACGAATGCTTTGATATCCTTTTCTACTCCTAGCAACTTCCTTTTAGAACAAACTCAAATATTATTTAACACGAGTTTACAAAATTATAAAATCTAAACTTCAAAGAGAACTGAAAATTACTAAAACAAATCACCTAATAAACATCTCATATAGACACATGATATTACAAAAACCAATACAAGACAAAATATGAAGCTGACACTACAAAATCCCACAAATAATATAAGATAAAATCGACATAACAAAAACATAATTGTACTATTATTCAATTACACAAGCATACAACAATCAAACTTCTGTGATAGGAAGGACTATAGAAATAACTAACCTTTAGGCCATTGCCATTAGGAAGAA